GTTTCTTTGGTTAAGAACAGGAACTGCAGAGCCAGTTTACCTTGCAGTCATTCTGCCTTTCCTCACTGTGAGGCCTTGGCCAAGCTGATTAACCCCAGAGGCCTCGGTTTCCTTACCTGCAGAATGGGGACAATAGTTGTAAATTATGCTTAGCATTGTATAAAGGCATGAGGGGCTTACCAGAGTGGCCAGCACACAGCAACTGTTCTGCAGAGGTTCTTTGAAAAAGCTGGAATTCCCCTGGTTTCTTTTGGGTCCTGCTTACCTCCTCTTCTGAGGGGAAGGCACAGTTGATGGAACTGCTCCCTACTTTCTGCTCTTGGTAAGGCTCCCAATTCCAAGTTAGTGGAATTAAATATCTTGCTGCTCCCCAAGTCTAATGTACTAATTAATTCTTCTATTTCTCTAACTATTCCCTGCTCCCTGCTGAACCATCTGAGCATCTGTTTTGTTCTGTTGTGCAAACCAGGACATGAAGAGGAAGCTGGAAGTATCTCTAGTTCCCATCATTGCTAAACCATCACTCAAGTTATAAGCTTCTGTACCTGACATTTGACAACCACAGCGAGACCCACAGATGTGTGTTTTTCATCACAGATCAGGGCAAGAGATTAAAAAAAAAACAAAAAACTGGAGGATTTGAGCCAGTCAATCAAGATGGAATTTATATTCTAGGACAGATTACCAGCAGGCTATGTGAAAGGTAACTAACTGGGCAGGGAAGAATGGAGACAGTAAGCCGGTTTGGGGAAGAGACACGGTGTGGGTGCCTGGGTGATGGGGGTTGAGGGATACCAATAGGCAGATTCAGCATGGAGTATGAAGATAGAGTCATCAAGGATAGACTGCAGAGTGAGGCAAAGAGAAGAACAAGAGATCCATCTCTGATTAGTGGCCAGAGTATGCTGAGAGGAATGGAAAACATTAGGTTTGAGACACCCCTTGACATCCTGGAGAGATGTCCAGGAGGCAATTGGACACGTAAGTCTTATGTTTGGAAGAGACGGTCTGGAAAGGCGTGTCTGGGAGTGAACACTTCCTTGCTGGCCTGCAATCAGCAGCTCTGGTGAGCTCGCCCAGTGTGTGGGAAGTGGGGGAGTAGGGGGGGGGGGTGCGGGTTACAAGAGCAGAGGAGCAGGGAGAGTGGGACCAGAACCAGGAGGCTTGTCAGGTGACTTTGTGAATTAGTAGTGTGGCAATCTAAGCCTGTTTAAATTTCTGAGTAGGTTTAAAAAATGTGTGTTGCCATTTTTCAAGGCTCTGTTCAATAAAATATTTGGGTAATTACTGCACTTGGGAAACTGGCTCAAATCCACCAAGGCCTAAAAATAGCGAGTTTACAGACCTGTGGATTCTTTTCTCATGACAGTGAAGCCTCGAAATCCCAGCCAGGCAGCTGGGAGGGGCAGGCCCCCCTTAGAGGCACCGACAGAGGCTGGACACAGAGACTCACTGGCAGAGACCTTTCCAGTGAATTCTGTGCAGCCAGTAAAACAGATGTAGGAGAAGGCGGGACTCTCTCTAGTCTACCAGTCGACTATTTGTTGAGAAAAGGTGCTCATCATAATGCTGCCTTCTTTCTGAATTTGAAGTGTCGATGGCTGAAGGTGCCCAACTTGAAGGGCAGCCACAGCAGAAATGAGCTGGGGCTTGGAAAAGCACGGGGCAGGGTGCCCCTGAAAATGAGTGTGGGACTTGTGGCCAGAGGAGTCCCTCTCTAAGTTTTGATTTAGTAAATGATGCTACACGGTAGTTGTGAAAAAGACGTGGCTTTCACTACCAGCAAATAACATAATCGACAAGTATGAACATTTAAGAAAAAAACAGGAGAGGTTGTTCTTCATTGCTATTGCCCATACTTTCTGGAAGGGGAGGAGTGTTGAATTTCAGTGATGAAGTGCAGCTCAGAGAATATAGTCATTCCATGGAGTTTGAGTGCTCAACCCCTGATTGAACTGGAGTTTGCTGTTCAAATGGGGTGGGCTGGTGAACAAATCCCTTGCACAAAGGGGCTGAGGAGGTCTGCTCCTGCCTGGGGACTATCCTCACCTGGCCTCACATAGACGCTTTGAAGGAGGAGGATGCCTTGTGGTGTGATGGAAGGAATCTCAGTGTCACCCGGATGGAAGTCAGACACCTATCTAGGTCCCACTCCCATGAGCAAAAGGCAGATCCCTCAGAGCAGGTGCTATAATAAATGCTCTGGATAAATAGAACCTCAGTGTGACAGACAACGTGCACACAGGTGGAATGTGAGCCATCTCAGAGGGATGCGAGTTGGTGTTTCCACCAGTTGTCCTGAGGTCAGAGTTTCTAAGGAAGAGAAGCAGCAGAGAAACTGTGCCATTGGCACGGTGTTATTTGAATGGTGCCAATATGCTGATTTTCACTGTAGGGTTTACACACTATGTTATAAGCAAACCCCCATGGGAGTTAGGAAGAATGCCAGCACTGCCCACTCTGTACGATAGAGCTCAGCAAGGCCTGGCTGAGAGCTGTGTACACAGTGTCAGCTGAATAAAAGTCTGACATTTGAGATCTTCCCTGGAAGACATCAGTCTCCAGACCAGCCTTCCTTCCAACCACTTGGTTTGCTGAAGCCTCAGGCCTCAGAACTCTTTGCTCAGCGAGCCACGGGCTTTCCTGTCTCTGACGTTTGGTTCAGGGTGCACCAGTGTTCTGGAAGATTTTCTCAGTAGGGTCTTTGCCTTTCCCAGTGATGCCCAAATCTTCCAGGAAGAGGTCCAGTGTAAACCTTTATAAAGCTTTCTTGGCCACATCAACCTAAAGTGTTAGGATTGGGAGGTAGTCTTAGTATATGCAGAGACTGAAACTCTACCTCTGTAAGGAGGATAGGGAAAGACCAAAGAAAGAGGATGGCCACTTCACTCTGGGAAGTGATGGGCATTATTAAGGGAAACTTACACAGTGGAACCTCATTTCTCAAATGTCTCCCATCCCGAACAATTTGCTTCTCAACCTGCCAACCCTTTCATGCTGATACCTGTATGATCAGTCACACATCTCTCAGGTGACAAACAAAGGAGATAATGTGCAAATATGAGTCTGTTTACCACCGTTAAAATCTCAAGATATTATGCTGTGAATATTTTTGCCTTTATTGCTGCTTATAATTATTGTTAAATTTTCATTTTTACTGCACATGTCCTTTCCTTTTTGTTAAATTTTCTTTTATATTTCATGTCCTTTTTGTTTTTAAAGTATTTATAGATTAAACAATATAATAGGTATGTATTGTGTAGAAGAAAGGTTAAGATAGGGAATCTGGAATTTGGGGGTCTGGAATGAATTCAATTTACATTATTTCTAATGGGGGGAAAAATGATTTGGTTTTCAAACAGCCTTCCAGATGAATTAAGTTTGAGAAATGAGGTTCCACGTCTTGGATGGCTGCAAGATAAAATAGTTTCCCACGCTGCTTGGCAGGTACTAGAGAATTATATAAGGGAAAGCGGCGGTCACAGGTACTAACTAGTACATGGATGCTACCAGCTACAGAAATTACATGCTTGCCCAGGTCAAGACAACAACCTGTCCCAGAAACCAGCACAGAGCAGGAGGCAGGCACGGGTGCTGATTTATGTCAGAATGAACATCAGTTACCATCAGACAGTCTGTAAGGGTGGCTGTGAAAAGCAACCTTCATTTTTGCCTGTGTCTAGTTCACGGGACAGACAGTGGTCATCTCATAGAACAGTCCTTCCTCCACATATAGAGATTTACAATCGTTGTGAAAATTACATACTGATTTGGACAATAAATGAGGAATGGGCTGCTCTCATTGCCTGGATTTAGGTAACTCACCCTCTACTTAAAATTTCATTCATTTACTCAATGTCCCAACTGGACTGCAGGCTGTGTCATAGCAGGAGTCCCGCAGGCAGGAGGCGCTCAATACCTTGTATTTGCCTGCCAGCCCCTCTGCACCTTTGTATTGTAATTCACAGGGCGGAGCTATGAGGGCCCTGAAGCTGCAACAGGCAACCCCGAATCAAGGGGGAAGAAACATGCCTAATAGCAATCAGGTATAGATCTTTTAGAAGAACTACGAAGTCCCAAACTAACATGAGACAGGCATGATTCACCTCCAAGTGCTCCAGTCCAGCCAAAGAAGGAGTCTGAGGACAGACATGCAACTGAGTCTAAAGATTTAAGGAGTAACCGCTGCATTCCAAGAGTGTGAGGTTCTGAGCCAGTACTTTCCCGATGACCTCAACTTAGAGAACTGGAGAAAGAGCAAGAGACAGAGGTTTTTCACACTGGTTTGAAAATGTAGCACATAAGTAAAAATTAAAATATCGAAATGAGTCAATTATTAGAGTAATATTCATAAACTCAACACATTACTGACATACAAGGAAAGTGTCATTTAGAGTCAAAAAAGATATTTAATTTATTTTATCTTCATCTGTGGTTCAATCAAATAATATTTCTAAAATAATTTCCATTTCTTTTTAAATAGAATATGTGCTTTTTAATTGGAACACTATGTTTTATCATTCAGTAAGAGAGAATGATCTTGTTTTTTATTTTTTATTTTTCCCAAAAGAAGCTGGCTCTTTTACAGACAATGCACTTAGCATATTTTAAAGACACAGGTCAAGACACAGAGCTGTGGGAGGTGGGATGGGAGAAACATTCATTTTGTTCTTTTGCCACGAATTTCTAAGAATGAGTTTATGAAATAGACATGTCATAGAACATATATGCATAAGTGGTGTAGTTATGTTAGTTAATAATGGTTTGATTAGTGACACACATAAATCCATTTCATGTCTTAACAATAAAATGGCAAAGAAAAATCATGATTGTTTTTCTCACATTATTTCAGGGTGAGACAGAAAATTCTGTTTCAAAAGCATCATCCTATTTGCAAAATGCCTAAAATGAACAAAGCATGCTGTGGAGGCAAAGGCATTTCCAGAATTCAAAACATTAAAAGAGCCTTGAACCATTGTTGCCAACACTGATATATCTTATATAATAAAAGGTTAATATGCAAATTGTCCCCACAGGCAGGAGTTTGACCGACCAGGAGTTAGATGTGCATTGGCCACCAGGGGGTGGTATGGAATATAGCTGGCTTTGGCAACATGGTGCTGGCAAATAGTGGCAGTGGAGGTGCTGCCCGCCCCTAAGGAGCCCCGAGGAGAGTGGGACCGTGGCAGGATGGTGGAGCAGGTGAGCAGGTGGTGCCAGGCCAAGGTGGGTGCAAGCAGGGGCCCTGATCACCTCACTGATCATCCCACAGATTGGCCCTGATCATTGGCCAGCCTAGGGACCCTACCCATGCATGAATTTCATGCACTGGGCCTCTAGTTATTTATAATCTGCTAGTTAAAGTTTCAAATGCTAGACAAGTTAAATTCAAATTGTGGCCACTCAGGGCCCAGTCTTTTCATGTCATATAAATTCATGGGGAAATAATTTATGGGAAATATAAGCCCAACACTAGAAAAATATATTTTACTTTTGTGAGTTTTTATGAGAGAATTATTTGAGGGAAAAATATGTATACCATTTTCACCTGGTGGATAATGGAACATAAAATAATGGTTCAATGGATTAATATACTATTTAAGAATAATGAACAAAAGTGAAGAGAACTACTCATAGACTACTTTTTTTTTTAATTGTGAGTCATGCTTAGAATTTTCTCACCCATTTCTGAATATTAATTTTGCATTCTGATACTTTGCCAAATTAATTTATTAGATCTAGTAGTTTTTTGGTGGAATTTTTGGGATTTTCTATGTATAGTATCATGTCATCTACAAATAATGGCAGTTTTACTTCCTCCACTCCAACTTGTATGCCTTTTATTTCTTCTTCTTGTTTGAATGCTGTGGCTATACTTCCAGGTACTATGTTGAATAAGAGTGGTTAAAAAGGCATCTCTGTCTTGCTCCTGATCTTAAGGGGAACATTTTTACTTTTTTGTCCAGTGGTTATATGTTGGCTGAGGGTTTGTCGTATATGATGTTTATTATGTTGATGTGTGACCCCTCTATTTTCACTTTGCTGAGAGTTTTTATTATAAATGAGTGTTGGATTTCAACCAATGCCTTTGCTGCATCCATTGATATGATTATGTGATTTTTAGCTTTCGTTTTGTTTATATGATGTATAACATTTATTGGTTTGTGAATATTGTACCAATTTTGCATATCCAGAACAAATCCCACTTGATCATGGTGTATGATGTTTTTAATGTATTGTTGGATCTTGTTTGTTAATATTTTGTTGAAGATTTTAACATCATCAGGGATATTTGCCTATAATTTTCTTTCTTTGTAATGTCTTTAATTGCTTTTGGAATTAGGATAATGCTGGGATCATAAAATGATCTTGGGTATCTTCCCTCTTCTTGAATTTTTAAAAATAGTTTGGGAAGGATACGTATTCATTCTTCTTTGAATGTTTGGTAAAATTTGCCTGTGAAGCCTGTTCAGGACTTTTTTTTTTCTTTTTTTTTCAGGGGTGGGGAGGGATTATTAGTGCTTCAATTTCATTAGTTGTAATCAGTCTATTCAGAGTTTTTGCTTCTCTCAAATTCAGTTTTATATTATTTGGATAATCTTTGTTTCTTGATGAGTCTAGTTAAAGGTCCATCAATTTGTTTATCTTTTGATTTATTGATCTTTTGTATTGTTTTTTTAATTTCTCTGTCATTTATTAATGGTCTGGTTTTTATTTTTCTTTCTTCTATTTACACTGTGCTTCATTTGTTATTCTTTTTTTTTTTTTAACTCTTTTAGGTGTAGGGTTAGCTGTGCTAGGTTAACACAATGAAATACCACTCTATCATAAAAATAAAGAAAGCCATACCCTTTACAACAGCATGAATAGACCTGGGATTATTATGCTAAGTGAAATAAACCAAAATGTAAATATAGGAAAAATAAAATGATGCAAATATTTGATTATGAAAAGAGAAAAAAGTAAAATAATGCCAATGGGGTCAAATAAAAAGCAAGTAATAAGATGGTAGATATAAATACAACTATGTCAGTTAACTATAATATATTAAATATAAATGGTATAAATATTACATTAAAAAGATTAAGACTGCCAGTCAAAGTTTTCAAGATCCAAATATGTGCTGCTTACAAGAGACAGCTTTTAGCTATCAGGATACAGGAAGTTTGAATGTGAAGGGATAGAAAAAGGTGTGGTGGGAAAACCAAATTTGTTTGTTAGATAAACTTTATTCAGGCATAAATTATAGTACTATGATTATGGATTCAATATTAGTTGATCAACAATATATATTAAATAGATGTATTTAATAAATAATTACTTAACAATGAAACAAAGCTATGTATTGATTGGTTGGTAAAAATGTTATGACAAGAAGCTCTTCATTTCATTTAGGAGCAATGTTTCAGTATTTGATAATTCGGTGTTTGTGGCAGCTTTATAGAATATCACTAATGTGAATAATGAAAGCTGACTGTATATAATGTCATAGAAATATGATGTGTATCATGTTATACATGGTGTCATAGCCCTTCCATAGCAGTCCCTGTTCACCTGAATTCTCAGCCTCAACTTTTGGAGAATAAGGTGAAAAGATTCACACGTTTACCCTTTTATCTCTTTTATTTGTCTTGATTTTTGGTTGGCGTGGGCAATTGTCAACTCTAATATTTATTTTAGTTTAGTTTAGTTTAGTTTAGTTTGTATAACCTACAGGTGTCCCAAGTCCCACATTAAGGACATCTATTGTTTGTCCTATGCAGCATTTTTGAATTAGTTGCTCACATATAAAAACCCAAAGATTTCATATAAAATTTTGAAAGGATAGGCATATAATTCTTCCTCACAGCTCTTTGTGACAAACTTTTCAATCTTTTGCCTTATTTTAAGTCTCTGAGCATCCACACAAATCAGTGGCTGATACCTATAACTGAGAGTAGTTCTGTCCTTCTTGTCTATACAAAATGGACAAGCAAATGAACTGCCTAAAATTCTGCCTTTTGAGAACATCTCCCTCCAACATGGTATTCCTTGGATTTTCCTGACTGGGTTGACATGCTGCAGCTGTCCACTTCCAGTTGGTTCCTCCATGATGTGCAGCACCAAGTATAAAGCAGGCATGAGGGCTTTTCCTTTCCAGCCAACTACACAGAAAGAACTCTATAAGAAAAAGGTTACAATGCACAGGGACAGATGTCAGAGTCTGAAACACATGCTTATGCAATTTATTTGTGTGTCCTAGACCCACTGGAGGCCAATTACATAGATGCAACACCTACTTGGTGATGAACTCGCTTGATCGGACAACTTGATTAGTATTTTTAGGGCCAAGCAACAAATAAGAAACTTTTATTCAAAATGGAGATTATTGTTCTGCAGAAGTGAGGTCTTTGCTTCAAAACCTCTGACTCGGTCCTATGTTTTTATTGTTGGGATTTGCCAGAGATGCCCCTCAGTTAAAGTATCATTTGATCTGCTCCATCATAAGGCTCAAGTGACATTGCAATTGCAATGGAACCAGTACTTGATAAAGAATCTTCTCTTGATACCACTGATAAAGGTTTAATCTCCAACATCTACAAAGAGCTTATACAACTAAATAAAAGGAAGATAAATAATCCAATTAAAAAATGGGCAATGGACCTAAATAGAACATTTTCAAAAGAAGACAGAAGGAAGGCCAAAAGGCACATGAAAACATGCTCAAAGTCACTAATTGTCCAAGAGATGCAAATCAAAACAACAATGCGGTACCATCTCACACCTGTCAGAATGGCCAACATCAACAAATCAACAAACGACAAGTGTTGGCGAGGTTGCAGAGAAAAAGGAACCCTCGTGCACTGCTGGTGGGAATGCAGACTGGTGCAACCACTGTGGAGAACAGTGTGGAGTTTCCTCAAAATACTGAAAATGGAACTCCCATTTGACCCAGTAATCCCACTTCTAGGAATATATCCCAAGAAACTAGAAACACCAATCAGAAAGGATATATGCACCCCTATGTTCATAGCAGCACAATCTACAATAGCCAGAATTTGGAAACAGCCTAAGTGTCTGTCAGCAGATGATTGGATCCAAAAACTATGGTACATCTACACAATGGAATACTATGCTGCCATAAAAAAGAAGGAATTCTCATCATTTGCAGCAACCTAGATGGAATTGGAGAACATCATGCTGAGTGAAATAAGCCAATCAATGAAAGAGAAACACCACATGACCTCACTCATTTGTGGATAATAAAGAGCATTATAAACTGATGAACCAAAAGATAGATATAGAGACAGTATATCAACAAGTAGACTGTCAAATTACAGCGGGGAGGGGAGGAAGATCTGGGGGAGATAATAGATCAACCAAAGGACTTTTATACATGAATATAAGTACAACCAATGGACACAAAACTCTGGGGAGGGAGGGGATGTGTGGGAGGGAGGGAGGGGGGCAAAAAAAATCAATAAAATATATTAAAAAAAAAAAAAAGAAGAAGAAGCTTCTCTTGCTCTGGTACCTTTCAGGTTATTCAGTAAATGGGTTGAAGAAGCACAGTATAATGTGATATGTGCTGCCTCCAAAATTCTAGAAGGTCCCATAAGTGTGAAGCATCTCTTGAGTTGTGGGTGGAATGATGTGCAACAACTTTTCTTTATCCTGGAAAAGAATATGCTGACATGCTTCAGACCACTACATGCCTAGGAATTTTATTCAGGTTTTGATACCATGAATTGTCCTTGCATTTATCTCTTGCCCTCTGGTGTCATAGATCTTAGTAAGGCATCTATTATGGACTGAGTTGTGTTTGTCTTCGTACCCCAATTCTTAGTATATTGAAGATTTAACCCCCAATATGACTGTATTTGGAGACAGGGCCTTTACAGGGGCCATTAAGGGTAAATAAGCTCATAAGGTGGGGCCCTAATCCTATAGGACTGGTGTCCTTATAAGAAGAGGAGGGGATATTAGAACTCTTTTTATGCATGCACAAACAGAAGGTTGTATGAGGACACAGAGGGAAGGCAGACAACATCAGACCAGCAAGAGAGGTCTTGCCAGAAACCAGCCCTGCTGGCATTTTAAACTTGGATGTCTAGCCTCCATAACAACGAGAGTAAATTTTTGTTATTTAACCTACTTAATGTGGAATTTTGTTATGGCAACCCGAGCTAAGACAGCACCTCAGGTACTTCTTACCTACTAATCATAATATTCAATCTGAATAATTT